CAATCAAACATGTTGAACTTCTTCAAAATCTCCTTTATATCGCTTTCTTGAGATATGAATTTGTCTTCCTCCATTTGCTTCACTTCTAGGTCCAAATAATATGACGTGAACCCTATGTCCGTCATCTCAAACTCAAGGGACATAACTTTCTTGAAAGCTTCAAATAAAGATAGACTGTTACCCGTTAGAATAAGATCATCAACATAAAGACAAACATGTAAAATATCTCTATTAGTATAGAATTTAATAGAGTATATTCATGGAGACAACGAGTAAATCCATTGTCTTGAAAATACTTATCAATGCGACTATTCCAAGCTCGTGGAGCTTGATTCAACCGATATAAGGTTTTCTTCAATCTGAACACCTTATCTTCATGATTTTTAACCACAAAGCTTAATAGTTGCTCAACATAGACTTCTTCAAGATATCCATTCAAGAATGTTGATTAGACATCTAGTTGATCAATCTTCCTCTTCATGTGTGCCGCTAAAGAGATTAATAAACGGATGGTCTCAATGTGGGCAATAGACGAATAGACTTCCTCAAAGTTGATGTCATGCCTTTGTTTGTAGTCTTTAGACACAAGTCTTGCATTGAATCTCTCTACTTTTTCGTGGGCATTTTTCTTCGCCTTTTACACCCATTTGACTCCAATTGCTCGATGGTCCTTGAAAAAAGTTGTTAACTCCCAAGTGTTGTTCTTCTCTATTGACTAGATCTCCTCTTTCATGACTTATCTCCACCTTTTGCCAATAACAACTTCATCATAATTCATTGGTTCACTATCAACAAAGACAATACAAAAATAAAATTGGTAATTTCTTCTGTGTAATCATAAAGTTCTTGGATGCTCCTCATTCTATGTGATCTTTCACTTGAACTCTGTTGAGCAAACGGGAGATGCAATATTTGCTGGTGAAGGAGGGGGGTTGAATCCTAGGTAGTTGCCATGGTCTCCTATTCTTCTTCACGTCCAAAGTATGAAAAAAAATTATTTGTTCTTTCTTCTGGAGCCTCCCATTTTTCGTAAAGGATGAATTGCCTCCATGATATTCTTTCTTAGTGAATATCCCTTTGATAAAGGATGAATTACCTTCAGTGTTTATATACCGTGATTGTTAAGTCGTTATTGTTATTGCAAAGAATATATTTTATAATTGTAAGAGTAGATACATGAAATTAAAGTATGATATTGTTAAGCAGCTGATGAGAGATGAAATAATTGTAATTGATTATGTGAAGCTAGAATAAAATTTAGTCAATTCACTTACTAAACATGTGGGAAGAAAATTGAATTTTCAAACATCAAAAATGATGGGTTCAAGGCCAATGTGATTGTAATGAAGATGGTAACTCAAGCTATGTAATTGAAAATTTCATGAAGTAGGTTCATATGGATAATAACAAGTTTATATTGTCACTGTTCACTAACTGAGAGTGCTTGAACTGCTACTATAAATGAGGAATGAGTTATTAACTCTTAATGAATTTGTTGTCTTCAATTAAGGATGGTATATTTAAAGTAGTATACATTTGATGAGTCCACATATATGATAATTGGAGTGAGTCCACTCTTTGACCTAGTCTGTAGAGCTCTAATGAATATCTATGCACACGCATGGCCTATTGGCACAAAACTGTGTTAAAACAACAAAATAACTAAGATCAAAATGTGATTGATTAAGTCTTTGTCTTATAAGAAGAATTATTGGTTCAAGGAAATATTGTATTTCACCACTAATTCTATAAGTTAAATTTCATCGATTTAAGTTTTGTTCAAAAAACCAAACTATTGCGTTTTGTCCATCAAAACCCAGCAAAGTATATTTTTTTATATATAAATTCTTTAAAAATATGTGGGAAATTGAAAGTAATTTTTATTATTTCAAATGAACTTATTTTAAAATGCATTTACAAAGACAAATTTAATCAAGAAATGTGATAGAAAAGGTAAATATTTATATGGAGAGTTGGTAAAGAGAAGAGAAGTTGTGGCACAACAAAAAACAAATGGCTTTTTACATGACGCTTTGTCTTCTTTCGATAGGTAATTAACTTGGAAAATTCTGGAAAAATATTTCATATCATTGAAATAATTTCTTAAAATAGTGCTCACAACGATTCAAATATTAATATTCTACATTATTATTTGAATATCATTGTAGTTATATCTTTCAGTTTTTCAGTATTATTATTTGGCTAAACAATAAATTATATTATTATTGTGATTTTTTGTTTCCTAAAATTTCTTCTTGAAGAATAGTTTAACTCTCCTTGAAGCTGGTACAACTTGTAAACCCTGTAGGCTCATAGTGACCTATAGAATCATAACACGTAGATATTTTGGAAATGCCCAATATCACAATTCTTTTTGGAGAGTATAGACATTACAATTACCACTTTTTTTTTTAAAAAAAAATACTTATCTCGTGTATAGCTGTCATGCCTAACCCCTACCAAAAAGTGGCTTTAAATAAATTTTTTAAAAAGAACTTGGGTTAGTGAAATTACCTATTAATGGCCAAATCTTGAATTTGGGTGTTTTTGTTAAGAGTTGTATTAGTATTTATGTTTAGGATACTAATTATATAAACCAATGCCTATTTTTATAAACAGAAAAATAATTAAATAGAAATATAGTTAAAAATAGAAAACTATTTCAAATTCACAAGTTGTTTATTGTGTGTCCTTAACGGAATGGTAGCCCTTCACTGTTGTTAAGATTTGAGTTACATCTTCTCAAGATGAAATGAAAAAGCATTTATGGAATAGCGGCAACACAAATTATTATAGGACTGATAAACTCAAATCATACGACACAATATTATTAAATGTATAATATCCCAACTTATTCTCGAAATCTCAGTGACACTTATACTATGCAAAGGTCCTATTACCCTCCTAAACTTATTTTACAAATAATTTTTTATTCTTTTTTGGCCTACGCGGCACTTTCAATCACATAACTTGAAAAAATTGTCAACACACTTTGGGCCAACAAGATAGTGTCACATAGGTCGCAAAAAGGGTAGAAAGTTATTTATAAAATAAGTTCAAGAGGATAACAAGACCTTAGTATAGTATGAGCATAGGTTGAGAGGTGTTTATGCATTTTTCCTTTTATTATTAAAAATGATGCATAAATGATGGTAAGAAGAAGAGTATTTTCTGTATATCAGTCCCTAAAATCTGAGGCAAAACCACTAAATTAAAGTTATATAGAATGAAAAGGTGAGAAAAAGAGATGCAATCTAAAAAATACTCCCTCTATTTAAAAAGAATGACTTAGTTTGACTTGAAACGAAATTTATGAAAAGAAAGAAGACTTTTTAATCTTATGATTCTAAATTAAAGTTATGTTAAATATACCAAAATGCCCTTTAATCTTGTGGTCTTAAACATGTTACGTGAAAAGTTAAAGTTAAAGCGTTGCTAAAAAAGGAAAGGGGTCATTCATTTTGAAACAAATTAAAAAAGAAATAGGATCATTCTTTTTTAAACGGAGGGAGTATTTCTTTTTTGTAATCTAAAGATATATTTTCTCATTTTTCACTCACCTTAAAACCTCCAACTAGTATCACCTAAGTAATTGATCTCCTCATATGAACTTGGACAATCTCTAAGCTATTAGTTAATTTTTGAGTTTGAGTTTAGTCTCGAGATCCATTTCTTCAAGTATCATAGTGAGACCTATATATTCAAATTCATTGTTTATGATGTTTAACCTCCGTCTTATATTGTTCACGCTCTAAATATTCAGTTTTGGATTTTTGGATTGTAGCGCGTACGGTAGGGGGTGTTGGTGGTTGTCGTGTTGGAATTCCACATCATTTGTTGTATGGGAATGTGGATTTTCTTATATTATTTTGAATAATCCTCTCCCCATGAGTTGGATTTGTGGTTGAGTTCGACTCAAATATCATTTATTTACATGGTATCATAGCTAAGTTCATTCCTATTTGGCCTCCTGATTGTCCATGTTCCGATTGGACTTGACATGAAAGGAATGTAAGTGTAGGTTAAAAGTCTCTCATTGGTTAGAAAAATGGACTGATAGTTTTACTTAGATGGACTTTGATAACCCTTTCTTCATGATTTTGCTTTTGAGATTTCACATTTCTTTACACAATATCAGAGTCGGATCTATCTCAAATTTTGATTTTGGTTCCTCACATGCTCCAGTTAAGGAGACCGCGTGAGCAATGAGTTTTACGAGTACCGCATCGGATATAGAATAAGTAATTCGTCTTTTTATATGTATTTAGATTAAACTCACCTATGAGCTAGTTTTTAGAGTTGAGTTAAGCTCAAGATCTATTTCTTTCCAAATCAATTTGACATGGTATCGTAGCTATATTTATTTGATTTAGGGCCAGGATCCAGAACAATTGCAGAAGGTGGAAATATCTTCAGTCCATGAATGTGCACCCACTTGATCGAATAGTGAAAACCTAACTGTCCAGATTTAGGTATGAGAGGGAGTGATGAATGTAATGGATTTCATATCGGTGAAGACAAGAACCCTGGGATCCTTACAATGCTTAAACATACTCATCTATGAGCTAATTTTGGAGTTGAGTTAGACCCAATATTCATTTCTCACTCAGTATTATAATCATGTCCATCCTAATTCATTGTTTCTGATGTTGGGTTTTTCTTTTATATCGTGGAGTCCCACATCATTTGTGGGATGGGAACGTGACCTCCTTATAGTATCTTGGACTTTTCTCCTCTCATAATCCCATTTTTAGGGTTGAGTTATAACCAAGTGTCATATTTTTACTATTCTTGGCAAACAATGATGATTGAACTGGAATTTCTCTTCATATTGGTGATTAAGGCTTTTGTCTAAAAATATTGATATACATTAATATTTTGTAGAGTCATTTGTTAACATCTAGAATAATGTCATGAAGTTTATGGTTTATATTCCTCATGTGTTGCATCTCATCATCATGTTGTTGGTTTTGTTCCATAATTTATTTCATTATTTGCAGAAATTGAAGGAAGAAACAGCAAACATTGCAAAGAAGATTGAGATCCTTGAACTTTCCAAACGGTGTTGTATTCAGTCTTAGCAGTTAGGTTTTCCAGTTTGAATGTGTAGTCTCTTTTTAAACATAAATTATTGAATTTCAATGCTTAGGAAGCTTTTGGGGCAAGGCATTGGATCATGTTCAATTAATGAACTTCAAGAGATCGACAACCAGCTAGAGAGAAGCTTGAAGATCATCAGGGCGAGAAAGGTGTTGATCACTCCCATCTTCATATAGTTTGACTTGATACGCAGTTTAAAAAAGAAAAAGAAAAAAAAAGTTGAAATTTGGGTTTAAAATTGTTACTCCCTCCGTTTCAAAAAGGATGACCTAGTTTGATTTGTTACGGAGTTCAAGAAAAAAGAGAAGACTTTTTAATTTTATGGTTCTAAATTAAAGTTATGTCAAATGTACCAAAGTGCCCTTTAATCATGTGGTATTAAACATGTCATGTGAAAAGTTAAAAGTTAAATTGTTGTTAAAAAAGGAAAGGGGTCATTTCTTTTTGAAACAAACTAAAAAGAAAATATGGACAGTCTTTTAAACGGAGGGAGTACTAAATATAGGTAGGTATTATCATTATTGTCTGAGATCGATTAAAAAGAAAAGTGAATAAATAATATGTAATTGAGCTTAACATGCATGTTTATATGAATTTGACTTCATTGGTTAACCAATTCTTATGTTGGTCATTTTCTAGTCTCAAGTATTCAAGGACGAAATACAACGGCTTAAAGAAAGGGTATGATGATACAACTTCAATGCAATTTTACTAGCTAATTTAATTTCACTGAATTAGGAAACACCCTTTTGTTTTCCTCTTGTGCAGGAGAGACAAATGCTTGAAGAAAATGCAAGGTTATCTCAAAAGGTGAACTCTCCCATTAATCTTCCTTTTCGATTTGAACTCTCTTTATTTCAATTCGTTTGTCTTACTTTTCTCTTTAGTCTGTTTCAAAAGAAATGTCTTTTTCATTTTTTGACAACTATTTAGTTTCAACTTTCCACTTTGACATGTTTAACATCACTAGATTGAAAATTATGATACATAGCATAGCCATTCTGTTATGATAATCTTGATGGCCAGTAATCTTGTTGGGGACGATTTGATTGATCTCCACATTGAAGACTGAGTTACTACATGGATGTGTTTTTGTTGACAATTGTTATAAATGTTGATATTTGTTGCTAGTGTGGACGAGCAGCATTAGAGTCAGCCCAACTGAAAGAAAAGGAAACGTCATGTAGCCGGGTGACCATGGAGACTGATTTGAAGATTGGCCTTCCAGATATTGGTTGGTGGTAGAAATATTCTTATACTTTAATATAGAGAGAGTATAAGGGCATGCAAATTCAACAAATAAGACGTGCCAATACGAGTTCAATATCTCAGCTTCTATGTAAATAAATAAATGTATTTCTATGAACAAAGGTTGTAAAGAAGCCTAATTTATTGCAGTAATATGTTTTCTTCAATTCATCTTGGCCTTTTTGTAAAGAAAGAATTTTTAAAGTAGAGGTAATTGAATTTTCTCAATAATGTTTAGCACTGTCATAACCTAACATTGCATCATACAGACATTGTGGATGATTTGAAAAGCAAGGAACACGATCACAGAAATATAGACATTAGGAAAGTCGAAGAGTTGTCAAAAAAAAACTCTAAATAAGTGATATCAACCCGCAACTAATAATCCAATAAAAAAAAATTGAAGTAAGTTCAAGTGATTACTCAAATCGATTGCTAGTAAATCCATGGCCATAGATCAATTTCATCGCATCAGTAACATAAAAATATCATCTTCGTCTTGTTAATTGTTCATTAGTAAACCTCTTTTTATTTTAGTATTAGCTAAATCATATTAAACAACCTTGAGATTTTAGTGCTTGAATAAATAATTGACACTAGTTTAATTTAGTAATACCTAATTGACAGAAAAATTAATTGGACGGTACCTTTTAATAAATAATTACTGATTTTAGCAATACTTTTTATGTATTACTATCATTTATAGCAATATTATGATAAATCTGCAATATATATTAAACTTGAATTATGTATGGAGTATATATAGAGAGAAAAATGATATAAATAGTCCATTAACTATAGGAGTAAGTCTAAAATGGTCCCTTAACTATACACTTAACATATATATGTCCTTTAACTATTCAAAAACCTATCAGTTTTGGTCCCTTAAATATAAACTTACCGGTTTTAATTCCTTAACTCTAAAGTTACCGATTTTAGTCCTTTAAGTATTTCAAAACTTATCAGGTTTGGTCTTTGTCCATTTCTTTGATACAAATAGCTTAGTTTATATTAACAGAAATATTCGTGAAATTAAATCTTTAACCCAATTTTAAAGTTGTTTCTCTATCCCTACACTTTTTTCTTCAAACTATCGTTATAAAAAGAACAATAATGTCTATGATTCAAAAGAAAATTATTTAAAAAACAAGATATAAATCCTAATTTTATTGAATGGAGGATAAAATTAAGCATATAATTGTTTTAATGACTTGAAGTCACACTTGAATATTTTAAGTAGTTTGAATTTTATTGAATTTACTCAAATTATTTATGTAAAATAAAATGAATAGAATAATAAAAATAATCTATTTAAAAATAATTAAAAAAACTATAAATATATCATTTTATAAATTCCAATTTATGAAAAATTAAACGAATTCCGCTCAATGAAGTCGTTGAAGTACAAAATTTGAATTTAACGGGGAATAATTTTTTTTTATAATAAAATCTAGCATATTCAATTCATTAATAGAAATAAATATTTTTCATTTTATCATGTATTGAATAAAATTATGACTTATACTTTCTTAGCTCGTGAATTTTATTTTGAATTGTTAATGTTAAGGTTCTTCGCATAAGGTTATTTTGAAGAAAATGAAGCGGAAAGAGAGAAACAACAGAAAAAATTGCTAAAAGATTTAATTTCTTGAGACATGAATTCAGTTAATATGAACCTAAGCTATTTATATTAAAGATGGAAAAAGACCAAACCTGATAAGTTTTTTTATAATTAAAGGACTAAAATCGATAATTTTATAGTTCAGGGACTAAAACTGGTAAGTGTATAGTTAAGGGGCCAAAGCTATAAGGGACTAAAGCTGACAAGTTTTTTGAATAGTTAAAAGACTCTATCCGCAAGTGTATAGTTAAGGGGTCATTTTAGACCTACTCCTCTAGTTAAGGACTATTCTCTCTCTATGTAATATGTGTTTTTATAGAATGTTCTATGTAATATGTATTAAAACGGTATTATAAATATATTAGAAGTGATCAAGTGAAAAAAATGTATTGCTATAAATGATGTAATGTTTTCTTAATATAGCATATTTATGTAAGTTTTCAATAAAGTAATTAGTTTAAAACAAATATATTCATATTTTAATATAAGAATAACCAAGAATTATAGAAAGTATACACTAGTTATACAAATATAGCTAGTCAAAAGTCATAGAAAGTATACATGAACTATACAATGTAGCTTATTATATTAAATATAAATTGATGCATTAACACACTAAAAGCTGAATATAACTTAAGTATACATGAATTATACAACGAGTATATATGAAATATACGCCAACTATTCAACATCGATCAACTCCAAATCACTTATGAACAGTCCAATAATTTAAATATAAAATCCTCTCAATGTTTTAAAACTTATGATATACCATTCACTCGAAATGATTTAGATTTACGATATATCAAATTTTTTTAAAAAGAAAAAATCGGAAGAAAAAAGAAAAACAGAAAGAAGAACTAGAACGGGAAGAAAAATATTGAAAAAAAAATAGAAGTAGCCAAAACTGAAGACGGCGATGACAACCAAGGTAAAGAAGATTGACCATATTTTGGTAATTAAATTGACGAAGGGTCTTTCATAATTATCCCTTTGTTTTACTTTGAATTGAGTAGATTAATTTTTGGGTTGGGCAAGACTCTTTGGGATTGTCAAACATATCTTATTCTTACTTTCTAGGAGAATTTTCTTTAAGAGAATTTTCAAAAACAACAATATTTTAGTATTTAATAAAATTTCTTGTCAACAGTTTTATTATTTATTTAAAATGATAATATTTTGATTTGCCATAGCGTATAAGATTGACTTTTCTATTTATTTAATTAGAAAGAATACAAATCTTTAACATCAGAATGGAGAAAATAATGGAAGAAGATATTTTAAAAAAGGTAAAGCCACTTAAATCTCTAATTATTAATTAGTTATAATTGGAAAATTTGAAGTGTCATCTCTCTCTTGTTCTTTCAAACACCTTTAACCATTGTTCTACATATTTTCAATATTCATTTTCAAATAACTCCATTGAAATTGAATTTAATTTTTCGTTGATTTTTCCCACTTTTCGTTGGATAATTTATTTATTTATTTGAAATAATCGATTGTTATTCAAATCCTTTATCGATTTTCGATTCTCCATTAATAATTCTCATTCTTCTTAGAAGTCAAGTTGATTGATCATCATGATGGACAAATCTCGTGTAAGAATTTTTATTTTTATTTTTATTTGTCAAGAGTCATGGATCAATTGTAAAAAAACAAATTCATCCTTCTCTCCTAAAAAATATAAAATTGCATAACGATCAAAATTATGTGCATTATCATTAAAATTTAAAATTGTATCTGCTCATCATCGTTTTTCGAGAAAAATTTAAAATTGTTGTTAGATCTGGGAAGCAATTTTGAAATACAGAAGTGAAGAAATTCATCATCGGTGTTCCTGCAAAACTCGAAATCGATAATTGGTCAAAGAAATTAATTGAAATATACAATCAAAAAACCACATATATTTTCAAGGTATGATCGATCTCGTATTATCTCAAAGAATTCATCAAAATTATTGGTGATGCAGCATGAGAGTGATGCAGCATGAGACTAGATTTTTAAAATTTTATTATTGTGATATTGAATATTGAATAATCGAAATACAGATTAATTTGGATAAAAAAATTGATGATATTATATTATGCATTGGATTATACGAATATATAATTATTTTGAGTATATTTTTTATGATGTTATCCCTATTCTATATTGAATTATTATGATTTTATATATTGAATAATTGGAGTATAAATTTGATTTGAATAGAAATTTGTTCAACAATTATAATAACAACTTATAGAATACAATTTTTAAATATATAATGTTTGAAATACAAATCAGGTAAAATATAACTTTTTCTTAAATTGAAAGTTACAAATAAAAGTTAATAATGAATTTAATCAACATAGGAAACAACATTTTGAATACAATTTTCGAAATACAACTTTTAAAATATAAAATCAATTTAGAATATATATTTTTGTTTAATCAAAAGCTAAAAATAAAATTACACAAATACAAATAATTGATATACAATATACAACATACATTTATTTGACCACAAATATAGTTGATAACTGAAGTTAAACATAGCATACAAAATGATTAATTTAAATTGCACATGGATACAATATGCTTAAATAAATATAATATTGCTAAAAAATATAATTAAAATATAAAAAATATACTAATATAAATACAATGTAAATAAGAATATATATCATTTTAGTCGTCTATAGTTTCATTTAAATAAATACAATATTCTGAAAAATACAATTGACATATAAAAAATACAATTCACAATACTAATATGAACAAAAATTAAGTATGAAATTAAATATTAACTAAAATTAAAAAATATAAACACCAAAATACAAAACCTACCATAATAGTAACGAGATCTACTTAAAAAATCAGACTTAAAAGAAAATTTACTAAATAAATAATTCTGAAGTTGAATAAATTCGGACACAATATTACATAAACGGTCAAAGAAAATATAAATCAAAACTAAAAATTATGATATCAACCTAATAAATACAACTCAAAAGAAAGTTATCCAATTAAATGATAATATGTTGATTTTTTTTTAATTTTAATAAAAATAATAAGAAAGAATATGAATGAACAAGAAGGAGAATAAAATTAATGAATAGAGAGAAAGTGGAATTGATGAGGAGTGACAATATAATATATTTTAGGAGGATAATTATAAATATATAATTTACTACAAAAACAATATATAAGAGAGAACATGTGATTAATGTGAAATAAATTAGGAAGTAAAGTAGGATACATTATATTTTTGGCTAAATACATAAAATCCTTCCTAAACTTGGCAGCAAAACTCATTTTAACACTTAAACTATACAGATGTTTAAATACCGCTTATCATCTTTCAAATGAATTTAAATACACCCGAATAGCTGACGTGGCAAGTACAAAAAATCACTGCGCGTGAAAAAAACTAACTGCCCCCTCCCCCCCCCCCCCCACCCTCTTTTTCCTTTTCTGAAACCCCCTATCTTGACTCTATATTTCCTCTTTGAATCCCCCATCGCGATCCTTTTACTTTCTCTTCGGGCTAGCCGCCTCAATTACTACTTGCCTCGCCTTTTTCTTCTTCTTCGACGAAGAACTTTTC